AGAGCCAGGCAACGTACGCAAGCTACATGGTGAAGTTTGTGTGCTACTTACTGCGCATACTTGCCGACGAAGAGCGCAGGATTGCCCAGTTCCGACAGGGTAGTGTAGATGACAGCGATGCGGCAGAGCATAGTGATACTACTTCTTCTGGATCTGGCAGATCTGGAAGTGAAGCCGACAGCGACAGCCGCCCGCGCCATCCAACGTGCGGGAAAAAGGAACCCGACTTCATGAAGGATGCCCGCGAGCTCTTCTGCTGGCAAGGAGAGCAGAAAGGGCTGGCGATTACGTTGTGGGACATGTTAGATGGGGCCGACACGGAGGCTCAGGTGGATGCATTGCTCAACGTGCTTGCATCGTTTATCTTTCAGTCTGTCAGCAACGACTTATTCCGCAGCGGATTGCTACATTTTCTCGCTGTGCTAGGCATTGATGGCGAGATGGATCGTCTGCGCACAGCGAAACACTATTCGTACATGCTTGCTGGCATGGTGTACTGCGTCCGTGTGCTTGCGGTGGAAAAGCTACTTCCCGCAGCAGAGCGTGACGAGCAGACCGACAAGGACCGCGATCGTTTCCTCGCAGAGAGACAAAAGTTTCTCGCGGATGGATCCTTTAGTCCGATGAGCGAAATGATTAGTTTACTCGCATACAGCAAATCGGTTGCGTTAGCCGCTGGTAACTCGGGCAATGCGTACTGGTCTAAGGATAAGAAGATCTTTTATCTGAACGGTCGCCCCATCTATATCAGCCGCTTCTGTCAGATGGCTCAAGATGTAGTAGCCGAGGCGGAGCGTATGCTTTGGCAGGAGCTTCTCTGGGTGGCTCAGCCGAGCGAGCGCTTTGAGATTTCGCTTGATCAGATTACGGACGACGTTACCTTTACACGACGTGGCGAGTCTTTTGTTACTCGTCGCGACAACAGACTCCACGATGGGCTCAAGTGGATGCTGACTTGGGCACGACAGAGAGAACCAGGTCAGAGGATGCAGTCTAGTACTGGTACATGGAGTCGGTGGCGGATAAAGCGATACTTACGTCAGGTCGACCGCTTTTTGGAGCTGTTGCTCGTCTGTGTGCACATGACGTCGGGGCAGCCAGGCAGGGGGTCTGAGGTTACAACGATGCGGCATCGAAATGGCGTACTGCAGGACCGTAATATCTTTGT